CCCCAAAACCCCAAAACCCCAAAACCCCAAAACCCCAAAACCCCAGAAGGATGAACGTGAGTTGAACTTAGACATGATATTTCTAAAATAAATCTGTTTTGTTGCTTTAGTCATTATGCAAAAATATTTTTGTTCTTTGTCACAAACTGCCTATTTACAACATTTCTCCAGTTCGTTTTATCTTTAAATTCATTTTCTTGAACCTTTGTTGGACTTTCTTGAGGTGTTTTAAAGTTTCTAAAAGCTTATCATCACAGAAATTACTTAGACTTTTTTGTTTTTGCGAGGTCTATATCAATTTTCTTGACTTTTTTATTTTTATTTTAATTTCTTTTTCCTCATTCTATCTTTGGCAACCTTAATAATAAGTATTGTGGAATATACCATGTGTTTTATTGTGTCATTAAAGTCTTTCCCAAATTGATAGAGATGTTTGATTATATCTATTGGAGGTGCATCGTCTGCCTCTCCATATTTATTTAGACTCCTTGATTAAGCATTCTTTACATGTTCTAAATTTATTTAAACAGATCTTTCAAAGCTAAGCATACTTAAAATCTTGATCTAATTCATCAAAGATTTCTTTGGAATTTACATGGAACTGCGAAAAGGAGTTGTAGAACTTAGCTAATGATCCAATAACTTGTAGGCGTTCATCCCCATCTGCTTTATCATCTTCTATGTCAGTCAAGGTTTGAATATGATCTTTAGTTTTATTTAAATCCTCTTCAAGATTATCAATGGATTTTCCCATTTCTCCTAGCCTTGATTCAAGCACCTCAAAGTCTATTTTTACAGCTTCTGTAAAAGGTACGAACATTTTAGTAAATTCAAGCATCTCTGGAGATTTCTCTTTCAAATTTATAATTAAAAACTCTAGAAGAGAGAAAGTTTTGCCATCTACTTTCTTTGATTTCATATTCACCAGATTTGTAAGAGATTGGAGCTTAAACCCAAGGCAGTTTCCTTTTGGTGTTTTAAAATTTAGGAAGTTTCCAATCTCAAGAATCTAAAATTTTATTAAAACTCATCAAATATTTCTGCTAATAAAAATGAGGTGTATAAATAGAAATCTTCTTACCATTCTGATAAGCTTTTTAAATTTATCATTAGTAGATATCGCTTCATATGACTGCTTCAATAGTGAAATATTGTCAGACATTATAGCAATATCTGCATCAAAGTTATACTTGAAGTTAATTGCATTTATTCTTATCTCTACAGGATTAAATGAAAACATTACCAAAGAAAGGGACTCTCATTATACTAACTATAAATTGCTCAGTTTTGTTAAGGTCTTCAATACTTCCTTCAAATGAATTTACAGCTTCAATTGAATCTGAAATGCTATAGAATACGTTTCTAAGTTTTTGAACGAGTTCAAAGTCTAGAATGTCTTCGTTAGTATCTTTTAAAGCTTGTACAGTTTCCTCTGTGCTTAGTTGATAAGTTGACAAAATTATCGAAACATTTTGGGATGTCTGAGCCTGTAAGACTTCGATCTTCTTTTTCTCTTCATTATTTGCTTTCTTTATACTGATTTTATTCTTTTTAATTTCTGATTCTTTATTGCAGAAATATTTATTAAGCCTTCGATAATTAATCTCAATTTCATTTTTGTTCTTTGATAAGTCTTCCCAATAAGTATTTCTAATTTGCATTTTCTTTAGTCCATTCCAATTTAATCTTTTTGGGACTAATCCTTCATTTGGTTTTATAGGAGTTAGATCAGGCCCTACTTTCTTCATTATTCCAGGAGTACCTCCCATTCCTGGAGGTAATGGAATTCCACCAGGTGGTAAAGGAACCCCTCTTCCAGGGGGAGGTGGAATTCCTGCTCCAGGAGGTGGGGGAGGGCCAGATCCTGGAGGTGGGGGAGGGCCAGATCCTGGAGGTGGGGGAGGACCAGATCCTGGAGGTGGAGGTATGCTTGTCCCAGGTGGAGGAGGACCACCCACTCCAGGAGGAGGTGGAACCCCAACACCAGGAGGAAGAGGCGGTCCACCAACCCCAGGAGGAAGAGGCGGTCCACCAACCCCAGGTGTAGGAGGAGGGCCATCTACCACAGGGGGCTGAGGAAGGCCACCAACCCCAGGAGGTGGTGGAGCTCCAATACTTGGAGGAGGTTTTGGAATGCCTAATTCTGAAGAAGGTATCCCAGTTCCAGGTGGAGGAGGGGGTGTTACAGCATTAGAACTAGTCGCTACTTCTTTTCCTGGTGGGGCTGGAGGAATAGTACTTCCAGTCTGAGGAGGGGCTGCTCCTGGTAGTTGAGAAAGTCCTGGTGGAGCAGGGAGTTTTGTAGCTCCTGAAGGAGAAGAAAGAGAAGGAGGTGGAGGGGGAGGCTGAGAAGGAGGGCTTGAAGAACTGGTTGGAGCTGGTGGAGGAGGAAGAGAATTTGCAGGGGTTGAGGGAATGTTTTGGGAGTTTTGTTGGGAAACAGGAGCAAGGTTTTTGAAATTTTCTTTCTCACCTAAATCATGAATATTACTATGTCTACCATTTGCCGACAAGCTTAATTCTAGACTTACCATTCTCATTTCTATTAATAATGTTCTCATCTTTTGATCATGTTTCCCTAAAATTTGAAATATCTTTCATTTTTAAAGACAACGAAATATAGTAATATTCACCATAATCGAGGCCTCAAAAAAATGTTCTTACTCTTTCATAATATTCTGTTTTGATTTATCGATTTTAATATACATTTTCTCTATTAAATTTCACATTATTCCCTGATCTTTAGTTCCTGAAGGATTATTTTCTAACTCCTTATTGCTTTCACTTTGATCTATTTATTCAGATTAACAAACACAAGAGAAATAATTACCTTTTTGCTCTTCTATTTCATTATTTAGCTCCTTTTCAACGTTTGTTCCTCTTCTATTCCCTAGATGTTTATATTGGCACACACTTTTAGCTCCGAAAAGATCTTTTAGTTTATTTTGGCCTTTCAATTTTATCTGCTTTAGGGCCTACTTGGACATATCCAATGTTTCCTTCAATGTCTAAATCTTCTGATTTAGCTTTGTTAGAGTCTAAAATAAATGATCAAGAGGTTGGTTTATTAGTCTTACAAATCTTATCGGCTTTAAACTTCATCAACCTGTTTTCGTTTTGAAGCTCTGCAAGTCTTTGGTACAATAAATCATTCTGAGCTTTAAGTTTTTCAACCTCTACCTATAAGAGTGTCAATGAAATTAAGCTAACTTGTTTCTAATTAAATTCTAATTCTCGATTTTTACATCAATATTAAGCTGGCTAATGCAGGAAGGTTGTGTTTAATATTTTAACTTGAGGCAGAGTAGATTACAGACCACATTTTAATAATAAGAGAGGATTCCGACTCACTTTTTGATAATTCATTGTCTCTTGTTGAGAATCCATGATTTTCAATAATATTTATTAATTTAGGGGTTTTGGGGTTTTGGGGTTTTGGGGTTTTGGGG